ATTGATCGTTCGTAGGTGTTCTAGTTCCTTATAGACCTTGCCAAAGTGTCAGCAGTTTCATCATAGCGATGGAAATATGCTTGAGAGCAAGAACTTGGCCCACAACCTCCTCATCCTTCAGGGATGGAACTGTTTGTAGGACAACCTCGTAGGCATCAAGTATGTCCTTCCTGTGTTCCTCTTCACTCTTTCGTTCCTCTTCTACCTTCAGCTTTAAAAGCAGCTCATACATTCCTTTTTCTGCCCCAGTTGCTTGATCCTGTAGGGCAGTTAATTGTGCCATAGTCATAGCCATGTTTGTCCTGCGGTTCTAGCTAGAGCATTCAGAATCCTTGGGTTCATCAAAGAGTTGTAGATCGAGAAAAGTTGAATGAGACTCTCAAGATGAGCACTCTCCTTGCCTTTCCTCTTTACAGGACAAGCACTTCTTTTTCTTGCCCTCTTCTGAAGGTGGGAACTCACTGCTTCTCTCGTTCTCTCCTCCTCTCCTGTCTCTCTCTCTCTCTCCCTTTTGATAGACTCAAAAGAAGACTCGAATAGAACTGTGCAAACGAACGGAAGATCGAACTGCAGCTGGAGAAGCATTTCATTTGGACTAGGTAGTTACGAACAAATAGTTGAGGCCTGATCTAAAGCATAAGTCTCGTCGTGTCAAACATGAGATTCACTCTCACTTCACCTAACCAAGATCGAAATAGTCAGATGGATCAGAGATGGAAAGTGGAAAGAGTTGTAGCAATGGGGAGTTACGGGAGTACAGCATTGCTAGTCAAGCGATGGACTTTTGTCAAGATTTGCAGAAAAACACGACCAAGATCTACTTGGAAGATGAGCCAAACGAAATGTCTGAATCTCCTTACTTCCGACATCACAAGGACTTTACCTCAAGCCTCCTACACCTCGTACTACTTGGCTGCGCATCTGCATACCGTGGCTCATCCAGGCCTAGCCTAGATGTTCAAAGGACAATGCAAACATTTATGGCTTGTCCCACTTCTACTGCCAACCCTGCTTCACCCTCCGGAGTCCTCCTCAACATCGCAACCCCAATCAGGAGCCTGTGTGACATCTGTCTACACTGTGCCATCCAATGCAGCAACTGCAACTGCGAGAATTGGGTGCGGTGCTTCCACAGTCCATACCCGAACCGGTCCTGTCCGGTCTGTAGGGGTGGCCACTTATGATAGGCAACGGCAGCTCCTCAACTGAAAATCTCCTGCAACGCAAAAACTGACTGGCCTCTTGTGCCATTCTAGAGTAATTTGCGCCAGATGGAGTATCGTGAACCCTCTGAAGTTCATCTTTCCTCTGTTATGTTCTTTGCCCCTCCACTTCCCTCCTATACCCGTTCTCCCTCCCCTGCCCGGCACTTCCTATAGAACCCCGCTGCTTTTAGAACTCCACCCCCTACCCCTTTCCTTTGTCCCTCCTCGTATGTACTGCTAGCAAATGCATACGAATGAGCATCATCAAGAGAACATTCAAAGCCTAAGCTGACGATCTGATGAAAAATGAACAGGAGTATGCATCCCCCTTTACTCTGTGTCCCTTAATAATGTGCAAGTGGGCCGTTATGGCACACAGGGATGCGGGCAGTTGGCACTCAAGACAATCAACATGGCCAGCCTTTTATGTGAGATGCACAGTGGAAAGGGAGCTGCAAGAACAACTAGACAAGGAAACACTTACAAAATGGTGGGAGGATAGGATAGGGGTAGTCCCGGCACAACCGACTGGCATAGCTTGGTCTTTACTCCGCACCATCCAACTAGGGAAAATAAGAAGTATGCAATGGCTGATTTTTCATTTAGCCACGTGGTGAACAGCGCGCAGGAGAAGGGATCATAGAGACCCTCGGAACGAGCTCTGCGTGGTCTGTGCGGATGAGAGCAAGGTGATGGTGGTACATTGCCTGGTGAACTGCCATGATGCAGCCCAAATATGGCAGTTGGCCAAAGATTTGTGGACTCAGATCTCAGACGCTGCGTTCCCAGAAGGCGCAGTCCCCTTTTTACAGGAATGCCCTTCCTGGCACATGGATAGGTTTTGAGCTGTGAATCTTTCAATTGCTGAGACAATATGGCCTTCGGAGTCTGGACCTTATATCGAAGAGAAGGTGCCAACAAACGATCGACGAGAGGCACCTGCCTATCCAGGAAGCTTGGGAGATCTTCAAAAACCTTCTGTGAACAGAGATAAGGGCACAATCGAACAAGGTGCAGTGGAAGATCCGACAGAACCCAACTGAGGCCCAGGAACCCAAAAAGGGATGTGGACAAGCAGTCCTGGGCCAAGGAAAGGTGGCAACCTTTGACAGATATTGGCTGCTATTCAAATGGGGGCTTCCCTCACCCAGCGCATCAGGCCAGAGGAGAATCAGTAACAGTGGTGTGCAATGAATTGCAGGTCCCAGGCGGGTTGTACACCAGCTAGGTGTGATTGTGTTTGCTGTCTCCTTGTTTTGAGCCTTAAGGGGCTTGATCCTGTGACCTGTAGTTTGTGTGCTCTGTCTGTTAGTTCTGAGGCCTACTGAACTCGATCCTTGGATCTGTCGCTAGTAGTCCCTATTTGGCAGTCTTAGGCCTTTCAGCCTTTGTCTTTTGTCCTTTTCTGCTGCTGCTTGGTAGGCCCGTAGGTTCTCCTTTTGCTGAGTTCCCCTTTGTCTGTCTTTGGGTCCAGATGCATGTAGTTCGTAGGCTAGAGCTTTGGAGTCCGTCGTAGGTCTAAGTCCAGCTGGGTAGAAGGAGGCTGGGCGTGATCTGATTCGGGTTCTTTTCTCGTTTTCTTGGAGCTCGATGTCGGGGGACGGCTGCGTTAACTTTGGGCAGCGCTATTTTGCGGCGGGCAGCAGCTCTTCTTTGTGGTGAAAAGGGCAGCCATAGTTGGGGCTTGCCCAGCTGTTTGAAGGCAGCACAGGAGATTGTTCCCTCCTGGTGCTGAGTAACCTCTTCATCGCAGTGCTGTTTGTTGGGTTTGAAGGCCCTTCTGTTTCATTAAGCGGCTGTTGGTGGGGTGCTGCCATTTCAAGGCAGCCATCATCTTCTTTGGCGTAATAGATTAATAATAATAATTGATTGAAACAGTTTTCTCTCATTCCAATTTTGGGGTCTGGCTTCCGCTGTGCAATATCTCTCCATGGCTATGGTGTGAATCTGCTCTCTCCAGTCTGCCTGTCATTGCAGAAATGTATGGGAACATTTGAATGCGGTTTTGGATGGCAAAACAATCGGGCACATAACAGGAGAACAGAGCCAGAGCATATGAAGCCAATAACAGGTCTAGGGGTTCCTGGAATCGCAAAAGGTTCTTCCAAATATCAGGAAAGGGGATGGGGCACGGGCAGGCGGGTTGGCAGGGTATAGGGTTTAAGCAGGAAGAGATTGGCCATCAACTCAGGATTAGCTACGCCGGAGGCACAGGTAGGAAGGTTGCCAGGGTTTAGGGTTTATGTAGGAAGTATTTTTAAATCGTCAATCCGGGATTAGCTATGGAGGAAGATGGTATGTTTGGGGTTTATAACTGCAGGTATGCCTTGCTCTTTAGACCACTTGGAGGATCTAGGGTTGAAGTGTCACGGTAAGCCGTAAGGTGACACAGAAGAACAGAACTGGTGTAGACGAACTCAGGCTCAGGCTAGAATCTGGGTGGAGCAGGGGCTGCTGATGTGGTGAAAATCTACGACACACAAGCGTTTGTTAGTCGTGAAAGTCCAAGGAAACACTCTGCCCCGGTCATTTCTCTTAAGTTGTGTATACCGAACATAATAACACGTGTGTGTGTGTGTGTGTGTGTGTGTGTGTGTGTGTGTGTGAGAGAGAGAGAGAGAGGGCCACAGAAGGCTGAGTTCGGTTGAGCAGTCTCCCAATCGTCTCCTGCCTTTGCAGGTCTAGCATCAATCCCCCTACTTTGACCCAGTACCCACCATAGTCAATTCATGTGCATAGGTGTCTCTCTCTCAGGGTAGTCAGGAGTCAAGATGGGACTTCTCTTCAGTCAGCACTTTGCCACCCTGGTGCCCTCTCGTCCAGTGTCCGCTTTGACTGGGCTGGCGGGACTTTCGTACCGTCAACTAGCCTGCTGGCCTTGGGGCCCCAGTTGTCACAATTCCTGGTGGCCTTGATAGAAGCTTACACAAGCCAGTACCTCGTTATTTTCCCACTCTCCAGGGAGGATAAGAAGCACTGGAACGAACTGGTACCCTGGATTACTTTAAGGCCTACGGGGTGACAGTGGACTCGGGTGGAGTCTTCATGGCAAACTATTTACCGACAAGTCCCTGTGGGGGAATTACTGGAATATCCCTCAGGTCAGTAGCAAATGGACAGAAAGAAAAAGAAAATGCTCAAGATAACAGGGGAGAAAATTGAAAAAAAGCTAAAAAAGGGTTGAAAAAGCGGAAAACTTGCTCAGAATTTCGGAATTTAGATTATGATGATACAGCTTGCTAGTTGCTGGCTACATAACTGTGGGTGCTTGAATCACAAAGTGATGATGAGAAGGCAATGCCTTGAAGGACCTCTGATTCCGACATAGGACATGTATACAAGAACCCAAATGAATGGACTGTAGTCACTGAACACGGGGCATAGTCACCCCAAGACTTTTTTTATTTTGTATTTTTTTGGACTATTTCTTGATTTATGCGTGTCATCCTTGCGCAGGGGCCATGCTAATCTTCTCTGTATCGTTCCAATTTTAATGGATGTCCCGAAGGACAACCCAAGACTTTCTTGGCTCAGCTCTGGACGTAGTTGCAGTTGAATGCATCGAGGTCCAGACGCCATTGCAGTTTAGGAAAGTGATACTGTGAGTGTGCCCTCAGTTGTGAGCACGGCTGCACGCAGCCGGTGGAGTGCAGTCATTTTTCTTACGCCGTCATTTTCTTTGTCGATCATGTTGCGGTGCAAAGAGCAGTAATTCCCAAAATTGCGCTTGTGAAGGAACAATAGTATGTAAGTTCTCTCAAGTTCGGACCTTATTCGTTTTGTGTGTCTGGCCAGGTGGCAGCTGGCGCTGTGGTGGGCTGTGTATTGGCGTATCTTTTGTACCTGATAGGTGGTGGTGGTCCAGCGCACCCGTCTTGATGGATTTGCTCGCTTGCGCGAGGGCTAACGCTCGTTCTGGACTTATTTGGCGGCTGAACTGAAGAGATGGCTGGCTAGCCTACCCCTGGAAGAGTGTGCAACGCTGTTTCTAAAGGCAACGACTGCGGATTCTTCTCACTCTGATATTCACCTTGCAACTGGCAAGTATTCTCCATGGCTCTAAAAACTGGTTGGCATTCTTTGGATGACGTGGGCCGTTATTTATCCATTGAAGAGTGAGATTTGCAAGATGTCGACCGAGCATGGTATGTAGGGCTAAGGGTTGCTGATTGGTGACATTCTTCGGGACCCTGCCCCCTGCTTCTTGATTCTGCCTGGTTCTTCTTCATCTTGCTCCCCTTTGTTAATATTTATCTCTCTGCCCCTAGTACAGATTTTCATTTGCTTGCAACGAGTTGTCGCTCTTCTCGTAATACGGCCCTCCTCTCCTAGGGGCACAGCTGTTTCAGCACGTGTCATGCCCGTCTTCATTGTTTCTTGCTTTGTCTTTGAACCGCATGCTTTGTTCGCTGTTCGCCCTGTTTTTATGCACTCGGAAATCCCGTGCTCACTTCTTGCTCCCCCCTGTCCCCCCTCTATCCCCTCACTTGCCCATCACTTAGCTCTTCATGCTTGCCATTATCCTGAGGACTTGTTGTCAAGTTGTCATTTCAACTCATTTGTCATTGGCAAATTGCCCATTGACAGTCACGATTTTGCGAGCCACAATTCTTCTGCATCGTTATCTGAGCTGCTATCCATTTGCCTCGCATGCTTGTCCGAAGTGCAGCCCCCACGTCATTTAGCCATGCGGCGAACATTGCGAAGAGCTTTTCCCAGAGTTGAATATGTCAATGCCTGACCCACTGCAAGGGTCAGCTGATCACCTTGCCCAGCAAAGGCGTTTCATGTTTCCTCTCGTATGGGCACCCCGTCATCTTCATGCTCACGTCTGCACTTCATTGGCAAGAATTGATCGAAACGCTAGCTTGGGCACATGAACGTACTCGTTTAGCAAATTTAATTCATCAACCACGCCTTCGTCTCTCTGCTCACCCCTTCCAGAATGTAATACGTTAAGTAAGAAATTCTCTCCACACAGGGTGGCATGCCTTGGCGCCAAGGTGGCAGCTATAAGAGGAGCATGGTCAGAATTCACTGAAAGTTAGTTATAACTTATCAGCTACTTACCCCTCCACGAGGCATGGCGGAAGGGCACCTCATGTTTTCCTAGAGGATGCAGAATGAATTGGTACTCCTTGAGTAGAAAAGATTTGTGAAGCGGCCCGCCCAGTTCAATGCTTGCATTTTCAGTGTGCCGCTGATCTCTATATGCCTGCTGCTCCTGTGGTTCCGAAACCTCGTTTTTTTTATAAGAAAGACCTCTCAATCTGTCTGGTCAGTTTCCGAAACCTGACGCAGATCATCTATCAAATTTTATTATTGTTTTGGTTGTTCTTGAAGGCAGTTAACTGAGTTAAGTTGATTGTGCCCTTGGTCAGGGTGAGGGAAGTTAATTAGCATCCTGCGTTTGATTAATGTCGAGGCGTATGTGCCCCCCCTGTCAATTCATGATTATCTCGATTTCGAATTTCCGACCTGAGTTCGGAATTTCCGACCCGAGTTCGGTTGGTCCATGGGTATTTGGTCTCAAATTCAACATGCTCTGGACACTGTGTTTGCGGCATGTTGCTGGCATGTGCATGTGTGTGTGTGTGTGTGTGTGTGTGTGTGTGTGTGTGTGTGTGTGTGTGTGTGTAGGGGGAGGAGGAGGTTTAGCGCATGTGCATGCCTGTTTGTGTGCATGTAAATGTGTGTGTTTGTGTGTGTGTGTGTTTGTGTAGGGGGAGAAGGCGGTTTAGCGCATGTGCATGTCTGCTTGTGTGCGTGTAAATGTGTGTGTGTGTGTGTGTGTGTGTGCTCGCGCACGCGCTGCATGCCTGTCTGTCATTATCACTGGAAAGGAAGGTTCACAAACATTGGCCCTTCGTCCAGTGCGAGTTTCGGCAGGTGTGGTTGAGTATGATTGCCGAAGCCAACCATCTGCGAAACGTGCACTTGTACTCTCCAGTGTGTTTACATGCCTGCTGGGCTCCCTGTTGAAAATTAGGCATGCAGCTGGGTTTTCTGTTGAAAGTTAGGCAGCCAGGTGCCGGTGCAGCCTTTGGCTGGAGGGGTGTGTTCCAATCGACCTCACTGAGGTGTTGTTCTGATTGAGGCCTGTTTTGAGATTCCGAGAAGGAGCAATTGAGCACTTGCAGAACAGCATCCTGAATCCATACAGACTTCATTTTGCTTGGCCATACTGCTCAGGGGGTTTGCTTACTATATATTTGAGTATGATTTGGGAGGCCTATGAGCATATTTTGGCTGTGGTTCGAAACGGTATTCAGATGACATGCATCAAATTTGCAGAGCGTCCAGACATCCATCCAATCCCACGCACACGCGTATCCAGAAGAACTGGAGGAGAATGAAGTCGGGTCTGCTATTGTGGTGTGTTGGGGATCTGGCCACAACGGGCCTAGGAGCCCGGGCACTTTGGAAAAAAGAGAGACACACAGAGAGAGAGAGAGAGAGAGAGAGAGAGAGAGAGAGAGAGAGAGAGAGAGCGGGGAGGGGGGGGTAGAGACACAGGAGAGACAGAAAGGGAGGGCACACACAGAGAGAGAGAGAGAGAGAGAGAGAGAGAGAGAGAGAGAGAGAGAGAGAGAGAGAGAGAGAGAGACTTGCTGTTGCCAACTCAGAATTATTTAAACTGACTTTATAATGGACTCCACTGCAGAACGAAGCAGGGACTGAAGTAGTGTTGTCTAAATTTGTCTACAGCACAAAATTGCCACTCACCATGCTGAGTCTGCTGACCCCCAAAGCGGCAAAGCCCAATGGCAAAAGTTTGCTGTAGTTAACCACGGTCAGCTACTGTGGCGTGTTAGGGATCTGGCCACAACGGGCCTAGAGGCCCAGGTGGTTTGGATGTTTCATTGTTCTTAGTTTCAATTTTCATCCCTTCGATTTGTCCTTGCCAGCGTTGCTTTATTTTCTTGTTGTCAGTGGCAGTATTAGTTTTGCAGAAGTGATACTGGGCTTCGCCTCTCTACTGATCATTTAGCATGTTACTGGAAGCCATTCGGACCAGATCCATTCGGACTGATCAAACCTCTTGAATGCATCAAGACCCTTTCCAGCTATGGATACATTTAGAGTGTCAAGTAGTGGAGTGAGGCCCAGTTTGCCCCAGTTAGGGCAGGAGCTATTTTTTGTCCTCTGTGCCTGTCCCTGGTGAACTTTTGGCACACTGGAGGTTCAAGCGGCATTTGCTGGCTTTTAACCTGGTCCACAGGGGAATGCTGGTTAGCGCTAGCCCTACCGTCTACACCCGAATAAAACATCCGGTTATTATATCTGCATCTGGACTGAAAGTTGTGCCAAATGCACAGCTATAATGATTGGTTGTTCTATTCGGGTGAAGACGGTAGTTTCCAGTCCAGGCCCATCCTGCGAGTCATTTTGTTTTCGACTCAACGGAACAGATTTCATTTAAGAGGAGGGAGTTGTTTGAGAGGACGGGGATAATATTTGGGCGTCTCTAGTACTCTCTACCATATCTTCGCTTTCTTCTTCTTCTTCACGTCACCTGTGCATGATTGAACGGGGAGGCATTCTTGCATGCATGGGCCTGTGCGAGTCAATAGTTTATGGCTACATTGCCTTCTGGGCAAGTCATGCTATGAATTCCACTGATGTCTGTCTGCTTGACTCTTCCACTGTGCTTTCTTCGCACTCTCCCCTCGTAAGATTCACCCTCGCGTCCCTGCCTTTCTGCCTCTGATAATGGATGGGGAACGCATCACCTCCTCGACTCGGTTCCGAGTAAAATATATGTGAGTACGTGCCACGGATCTCGATCAGCAAGTGAAGGTGATGAAGCAACTGTTCCTTCCAGTCTGCTGACTGTTTAGATGAAGCTGAGGGCATGGAAGAACTCGAACGGGGTCTACTAAATTCAAAGCTCTATAGCTGACCGGCCGCGGGTGCCGCTAAGTCCGCCAAGCCCGCTGGCTGTCGCGGGTGCACGATTGTCATGCAATAAGCCCATAAGCTTTCGCAAGTAAATCGCATCACCAATGCGATCAAATGGAACCACGCAGAGTAGGAGAGGAGTCCAGAGTGACTCCATGGAGTCCAAGAATAAACAGCAGGTCACCAGAAGATGTGGACAAAGGTGGAGAAGCAATAGACACCTCTACATGCGCCAAGCCCATTATTTGATTGATAATTATTAATCAATAACACAATTGAATCAGCTCTGCCTTCCTCTTCGCCTCCGGGTTCCTCTCCAGCAACTCGCCAACTCTGCAAATCTGAGTATCTCCCTGAAAGTCGCTGTTGAAGTCTCTTTGAGGGGGGTACCAGATATGATGCCCAACCTCCAGGATCAACGCTGGCTATGGAGGTTGGCGTCAGCCCTCTTCAACCTCCTGATGTGGCCAGCAGCAACTCCAATATCACCAGCGCCCACGGAAGTCAAGGTAAGCAGCTTCCCACTCTACCCACTCTCTCACTCTCTCCATTCCCATGTCCTGCTCAACCTCTTCCTCACTCTCTCTCCAAACTAGCTATCGTGGTTCTCTCCTTCCTCGCTGCCTCCTCTTGCGCTCACTGTAGCATGTCTGTCTGAAGCACAGAACTGTAATGCGGCACTGTAGCGCGGCACTGTGGCCACACACTGTAGTACGTGCACTCAAGCACACCAGTGTCGCAGCTTGAGCCAGCTGCTGGGGCAGGCGAAACTCTTTTAAAGAGTTGCCCGGCCTTGACCTGCCTCTGGGTGGCCTCCGCCGATGGTGGAGAACCCTCAATCTGGCCGGCCTAGATTTCTTGTCGGCCGATGATGCGTGATTGGACCGAGTAGGATGTGGGATCTGGGATCGGTGCCCTTGGTCGTCTGCTGAGAAATCTTGGACTCTTGGTCTGCTTTTCCAGCGTCCGGCCTGGCTCTTGAATTTCCAAGAGTCAACCATCTCACGGGGGGGCACAGGTTGTATACCCATGTCTCCGTGTCTTCGCCATGAAAAAGCGATGTCCTATACCCCTAGACGAAAGGGACGAATGAATGAATGAGCTTGTAGCTCAATTGGATAGAGCACCAAACTACGGATTTGGGGGTTGAGTGTTCAAGTCTTTCCAAGCATGGGCCTATAACTCAGTTGGTTTGGTTAGAGTATACGCCTGATAAGTGTAAATTCAGTAGTTCAAATCTACTTAGGCCTGACCCTGGACCACGTACCCTTTGACCGTGAGACTTTTCTGAGACCTCCCTCGGACTCCAAAGGCGACTTTTTTGACGCCTGAAGCTAGACTTGGACCAAAAGTTATGGGCCAGGGCGATGTCTGTGTGTATGTGAATTTTGAACGGAGTTCGTTGTAGTAGCATACGCTGTCGATAATTGGAGTTAAACCGGCATTGTTTAGTTTCATTTGTGAACACTTATTGATGCAAACGCCAGGTATTTTTATGACATTGTCGGAATGTCGGTGAGATGCCGGATCGTGACATGGCCCCTGGTTTTGAGACGTAGATTGTGGTGTCAGAAACTTCAAAAACGAGTTATTTGCGGTGCTTGGGTTCAACAAAGAGCCTGTGAGATAACTACCACATCCAAAAGGCAGAAAGGCACGTAAATTGCCCAATCCGGACATAGGGAGGTAGCGAGTCTAGCGACAATAAATAACAATAGTGGGCTCTTTCGAGTCCGGTAACAAAAAAGAAAAGTACACGAGAGTTTTTTTTTTTTTTCCCTTAATGGAAAAGGGCGACGGCCTTTGAAATATCATCATTGAGCTGACCGGCCCCAGGCAATTCAGGCAATTCAGAAATTTCTGGTTTTATTAATCTAGAACTAGGCTACCAGCCGGGCCGCCCGGGTCCCGGGTGGCCAGCCCGTGCAAGGACCACGGAAGGTCGCAGCAAAAAAAAAAAAAAAAAAATCCGAAAATTCCGAAAAATAGCTATGTTATTCAGAAAAATAAACTGAACAACTTTTGCCTCAGGGTCACATCGAAATTCTTCACCAAATTTAGAATAAAAAATAAAATCTAAAAACAATTTTTTTTTTTTTTTTTTTTTGGCCCGGCCGGGCAAGTGACCCCGGGCCACTCTGGTAGCCTAGATTCTAGAACCATCATCTGGATTCGAACTCTGGTCTGCATTTCAACAGTTCATGGGTGTACCAACTGAGCTATTTGTTTTCTAACTTCCATTCTGCGGAGCAGCAGTCTGGTTTCTATTCCCCTAGCAAGTCAAGAGAAGATACACACCTGCTGCGTGCCATGGATGTTGTAGCCAGCTCTCTTCTTCCGTTCAAAATGAGACGTGCAAGGCTCATCAGTTTCGTTGTGAAATTGAGAAAGTAGACCTAGACCTTGGGGGTTTTCCAATCCTCAATGGCAGAAGATGCTCTGCAATGCCCATGTAATTTTTCTTTGTGGATGGGAGAACTCGCATCTCGGTGGGGGTTTGAATCCTCACTGAGGGCAGCATACGGTTGACTCCTGGACAATTTTTTTTTCGTGGATCGAAAAAACAGTCGTGGGGCGGGGGTTCGCATCCTCAACCCGGAGACAAATACAGACACGATACACAGCGGGAGATGGA